TAAGAACTCGTATTCATATGTTAACGTAAAATTATATGTTACGTAATAATTATTTATATAAATAATATGTAATAACGAGGAAACGAAATATTTATTTTTCAACCAAAATATCTTTCGTAAAATTAATTTTAATATTCCTTTAACAACTAAATATTAGCATTAATAAAATTAATTCTTTTAATTATGATAGGGCTAGATGTTTCAAGAACTCATTATAAACAGTTAATTATGTAGTTTTTTCAAACTTGAGTCGGATAATTTGGAACAAAGAAAAAACTTGAGTCGGATAATAATCATTACAAACTATAACTAGTTGCAACTATTTGTAATTATCTGGAAATTTAACAACGAAAAATTATTTAAATTAATACATAATTGATTACAATATTTCTATTACTAAGTGCTAATTAAAAATTATAATGGATGACCAGTTCATTTGTGTGAGGATCAATAGACCAAAGCAACTCAAAAGTGAAGGTAAGAACCGAACTCTGACCAACTTTCATTTTTCAAGACAAGTTAATTTCAAATCCTGTAAAGGTGCGCCAGACGAACCGTGAATATATGTTACTTTTTTATATTCTTTTCATTAGTTACAGATAATTGAATTATTATTTTAACTAAAAAGTAAGTTAAAATTAGTTAAAGGTAATAAATACGTAAAAAGTGTATTTTTTTTAATAAATATACCCTTATTTATAGAAAGGATGAGTGGGAAAAGGAGATTAGAAAGGCATATAATTTAATTAGTTCGGGACAGAAAGGCATATAATTTAATTAATTGGGGATGTAAATGAAAAAAAAATGTATGCAAAAAAAAAATTAATTTATAAAAAAAAAATTAAAAATGCTCCAGCTTATAATTTTTCAGGTGTGATCGTCATTTAGGAATTATGAATACCAGCAAGCTTGGCATTTATGCACGTATAATAGTAAAGGCGAACTTCCTAATACAAAACCAAAATTAATTCATAATTAATTACTTAAAACACTAGGAAATTAATCAAGCATAATAATAGCGAAAAAATCAACAATCCAACTAGATTTCAAATAAGTGAAAAAATATGCAGTCAAATATGTTCAAAGGCCTAGCAAGCCCAAATTAAAGGAGCCCCTAATTCAAAAGAAGACCATTGCATTCCAAGCCTTCGTATCTGCTGCACAATATATGAGTATTAGCAAATACCAAAACCAAAGCATATCCTAAAACAAATCCAAAACCAAACCAAAACATATCAATTGATTAGGAGTTTTATTATAGGATTCCTTTCCGTATTATTATAGCATTATATTAATGTGTTTGTACGACTTTTAGAACATATTGAGAGTTTATTTATGTGTGTGTTTTCTGTTGGCACTGAATCTGAAGTGAGACGCATTATTCATTTAATTTCTTATAAATAGTACAGATTTCACTAGATTTTGGATGATATTTTCATATTGATGATTCATTTCTATTAATTAATGAGTTTCTCAATGCTCATCCTACTGCCTTATTTCTTCTTCTTTTAGTTTAGGCTGCCAGTATTATCCAGCCATTATTTTATTTGCCAATTAATTACCATCCTTCTGCTTTCAGTTCCGTGTAGTTATAATTGCTTAAGGCCAATAGTCTTTTGTTCTATCTAAAACTGTTTCAACTTGCAAGTCTCTTTCTTGGTGATATTGTAGTTCTATGGTGTAACGTATGTATATTGTGGTCCAATTTCTTTCTCCTGCTTTATTCTACCAAGTATGGTGGTGTGGTTCTATTTATTTATTAATGGATGCGCTTCTAACAAAAGAACAAAAGATCGCACCGGACACTAAACTGGTCAAAATTCCAAGGTCAGTGTGGCACACCAAGGTTAACTCGGGATCAAAACAATCATATTAAAATAATATAATTTAATTAAAAATAACAAAATACAACAATATTAATGCAACAATAGTTTGATTGTAATAATAATAAAGTATAACAACATTGAGAATGTTCGTCTTTACCATTCCTCAATAACTAAAATTAATAATCATTGATACCAAAATTATTATTAAGGTTCATTCAAATCTATAGTGATTGAGATATTAGAAGTTGAATGAGGAAAAATGGAACACATAATAACATAATCATTTAACCCGGTTGATCGCCGATTTACCCCAGTTTTTACCGGTTTACTCCATGACCAGTTTAGTGCTTAAAACCAGATCAGACGACAAGTGACAAGTCCGGTCTAATTTTTTTCCCTTTATTTTTTTCTTTTAGAGTCAGTGCCTGTATATATTGGTCCCCATGTCTGATTTATGGAATTTTTAGCTTGCACAATACTCTAAATTAATGCTTTTCTTGCCTTATTTGTTTTCATCTTGGGATGCCTACTCATTGATTTCTTGACTCTTGCTTTTATATCTGAATATTTACAGCAAGGAATTTAGTGCAAATAACACGAATCATAACCAGTGGAAGCCACCACAGCGAACTAGTGAGACATTACATTCGTGTACCTGAATATTGTTTACAATAATTAATAGTGTCAATGTTTTGTAATGAGGTACTGGTTGACTGACTAACTGAGCTATATGATTCTTAATTAAAGCTAATTAATTTTCTTGATTTTTTTTTCTTTATCTCATTTCCCCATTTGACTAAGTGGACTTTAATTTACAATAGTTATTTTAGTTTTAATAACTGTAGTGAGGGACTCGATGATATCGTATGTAAAAATGTATATTGTAGATTTTTGAAAAGAAAAATTTAAGAAGTTACAAATATTTGATTTGCACAATTATAAACTGATGAATTTTAACTGCAGATGGGGCATTTAAGTTTGAAATGCAACTTTTAATTTACAATTAGGTATCCTATTTGCAAATGTCTCAATATTTTTCCGAAATTTTTTTTTAAGGATCCAATTATCATTAATTTATTCTTTTAAGATTTAAATGTCATTATATTCTTTCAAAAATAATATATTGTGACTCTCGTCTCTTAAGTCGAGTCAAATGATTATCCATCCATGACCAATAACAGAGTGGAACTATTTTTAATTTAATTATTTATCTAATATTTAGTGGTGAAAAGCTTAGACACATATTATATATATGTATGTATGTAACAACTAACAATACAAGATCTGATCCAGCAGCAAAACTTCAAATTAAGAATCGAACTCTAATAAAAAATTGAAGCCATAGAAAACGTAATTTTCATATTTCAAAACAAAAAAATGCATTGCTTCATTGCCAACTCGAGAATGGCGATCTTTTGTATGATGATTCCTAACTTGACGAAAGCAAAAGAAAGAAATCATAGCATTCTAAAGGATAAACCAATATCCATCTCATCAAAGAAAAATAAAGATCAAGTAAGACATCAGATGCTTCAATTTACTTTTCAAATCCCATCAATTTGCATCATCGACTTTCTCATCCAAACTCATAAAATATTGCAATGTCTTGGTGTACGAAGTAAGCCCAAACTATCATACATATGCTGTTCTTTCGTTTTGAAGGAAAAACACACACACACACGAAGAAATGACAAAAAATTTATGAAAAAACTCTAACTTTGGCATTTTGCTGTTTTTTTTTTTAAATCGAAAGTGCTCTAAACCATGTTTTTTTAAAAAAAAAAAAAAAAAAAAAAGAAGAAGTGTTGTTCAGACCAAGCTAAGCACTTGTAAAAATTTTGGATAAGTGTGAAATCTATATTATATTGAATTTATTTGAAACTTCTTCACAATAGAAAAATATCATGCTTACAGCTACGTGTCCTCTAATCAGGTGTACATATTTTTCTAATTAAATTTATCTCTACTTTTCTTTTAGCTGAAAAATTGGGCAGCTTGTAAAATGGATACTGATAAATTGATTAAATCAAGTTTTTATGCATGTGATATTGCATCGAACTAAAAATTTCTCTCCTATGTAATATAAGGACTAAAACATTTAATTAGGTTTTAAATATTGTAATAAACGGCATAGGAGTTTTTTTTTTCTATTCATTCAAATGGGATTTAAATTAGAGATACCAAATTTAGAAAGAACATATAAAAATTTTAAATTATTTATTTATTTCTCTATTTAAGCCTAATTGACATACTATTTAATTATGACATTGCACATTTACTTTAATATATTCAAATTCTAATTAACATATTGTTTAAATTTAAAATTATTTATTAATTTTTTCATTTAAGCCTTCAATTGAAATTTCATTTAATAATTATGCTTCTCATTTAATTTAATATATCCAAATTCTAATCAAAATATTATTCTGAAGAAACTATTTCTAACTTTTTTATTCACATGAGAATACGCACTAGCCAAAAAGCCCAAGTAACGAAAGCAAAACTACGCATGAATAAAGTTTTAACGGAAAGAAAATGTTGAGGCTAAAAGGAACCATTGTTTCAAATCACATAAATTGTATCAACAACTAAACCCGTCTATAAATTTATAATGATCTATTGTACTCCTCCGGTCCTTAATATAGGATCCAATTCTTGAGTTGGTTTTGGTCCTAAATATAAGATCCATTTCTCATAATTATCAATTTTCTCTAAATTACCCCTATGGATACTCCCTCAATAATAATCAAGTAAAAGAGAGAAAGTGGTATTAAGAAAGATGATTATGGTGTTTTAAGAAAAATGTGTCACTTTTCTTATAATTAACTAACTCACCTAACTTCCTTAATATAATCAAATTAGTTAAATGGGTCTTATATTAAGGACCGGAGGAGTAATTAAAATATACTAAGCTTGGCATTTATGCCATTTTAATGGCAGAGCGAACTTCCAAATACAGAACCAAAACCCAATATTAATTATTAATTACTTAGCCCAAACTCAAAGTCAAACTGAGTTAAACAATCCAAAATTTTGCTTATTTACATATGGGGACCGAGTATGAGTTTGAATCCTAAATCTCCATTAGACAACCTGACTGGACGTGGCCCATAAGGCCCATTGGGCTTTCCAACATCCTTCAGCTGCTACTCCTAAGGTCCAATAAAAAGCCCACTATGGTTCTGGATACCCACTAGATCCAATCACCAACAACATTCCCTCCAACCCCATACTCATGTGCGCCACTTCCCGGATTTCACATGGCAGTTCCACCACGGCTTCCCACGTGCCGCCTTCTGATGCCACCACTTCCCCACCGCGGCACATGTAAACTCTCCCTCCATCACCACCATCCCCGCCGGTCCTCAGGCACGTGGCCGATCCCAGGAATTCCTCTTCTGCTGGGTCCCACTTGCACATGGCAACGTCAAGGGCTTCGGCGCTTCTCTCAAACTGCCCTTGCCTCTACGTGCAGTAACCACCGATCACCTGAAACTTCCAGCTTTGGCAGCGGTAAACCGACTTGCACCTGTTCCTCTCCCTATCCATGTCGAGAAGTGCGACCCACTCATCTCTGGCCACGTCGTAGGCTAACGCCGACTTCAAGGCATTCTTCTCGTCGTGACCGCTGGCCAACTAGACAACCCGTTTCAAATCAGACGCGCAGGCGAAAAACGTCGTGGGCCAGCCCGGCATGTCGGCCCTGCGTCCCCAGTTAGCCGACATGAAGTTATAAATGAGCACCGAATTCGAAGACTTCCACGAGTCTAGGTCCCACCCGCCCATCAAAACCAAGTCGTACCCGACACCTGCTATTCGACAAAACATGGGTAACTCGCCTGAGTAGCCCGGAGGCGGCGACAACTCGTTCCCCTGACCCGCATGTAGCATGCCTCATGTTTTGCTTGGTTCATTAGTTTTATAATATAGGGAGAATTTCAATAAACCCCCTTAATAGTCTATTAATATTAGTATCAGTCAACTTTTTTAAAAAATTTTGAAATTTTACTGTACCTGTTGACTAAAATTTTATGTCTATAGTATCCTTACTTTATTGTCTTGTTTGCAAGATTCTTGTCATCTAATCATGCTTCAAAGTGTAGCTATCATTGGTTACCATGATTATATATGGAAATGCACCTAGTTATTTAGTGGAGAAATATTCAATCAAAAATGAATGATTTAGATTTTTAACTGAAGAATTTTAATTGGTGGGGATAAGACATTTAAGTTTGAAATATCACTTTTAATTTGCAATTGGGAATCCTATTTGCAAATGTCTCAATATCTTTTAGAAATTTTTTAAGCATCCAATTATCATTAATTTATTCTTTTAAGATTTAAATGTCATTCTTTCAAAAATAATATATTACTGCATTCGATTCTTAATATAAGATTTAGTTGACTAATTTGGAGATATTAGAAAAGTTACTAAATTACCTAATTATAACATGTATTACATGATCCCTGTAAAATACTTGTGTGTATTATTATATTATATATTAATTTATAAGTGAAGCAAATTAGCTGAAAAAAGAAGATAAATATAAATAATTTAAAATAATTTAGTAACGTCTTTAATCTTTTTAAATTAGTCAACTAGACCTTATATTAAACACTGGATGTAGTATGATTCCCGTCTCTTAAGTTGAGTCAAGTGATTATCAATCCATTACCAATAATAGAGTGGGACTATCTTTAATTTAATTATTTATCTCAATAGTTAGCGATGAAAAGCTTAGAAGTATATTTTATATACACACACCTGTCTGTGTATGAAACAATTAACAATGCCTTTGATATCGCTGGCAAAAAATAAAAACAATGCCATCTATACCATTGATCCATCTCAGTGCAAATTAAAAATTCTGATTCTTGACCTGATCTAAGCGGCAACACTTCAAATTAAGAATCACCCTCTAATCAAAACTTGAAGTCATATAAAACATAATTTGCATATTTCAAAACAAAAAGAGTCATTGCGTCAACTCCAACTTGAGAATGGTGATCTTTTTGTATGATGATTTCTGACTTGTTCATTCATGTGAGAATAGACAAAAGCAAAAGAAAAAAAAAAATCAAAGCAGCACTAAGAATTAATAAATCAATGTCCATCTCATCCAAAAAAAATAAAGATAAAGTAACGAATTAGATGCTTCAATTTACTTTTCAGAATTAAAGAATTATAGGAATCATCATCATCATCATGTTAAATCCTATCAATTTGCATCGTCGGCTGTCTCATGCAAATTCATAAAATATTGCAATCTCTCGGTGTCATAACTCATAACCCTGATGTATACGTATAAAGGGTTGGTTAGTTTTTTTTTTTTTAAATTATTGGAGCCCAACAATGAGAGAGCCCATCCTTGAGTATCTTTTTATATCAAAATTAGATAATTTAAATTATTTAAAGGCCTTAAATAATTAGAAATGTGGGGAATAATTATTTGAGGATTCGAGTGAATTAATGGGAATAGTTGCTTCCAAAAATGAAAGTTCCAAGTTCAAATTAATTTTTGAGCTTAGAAAAGATTATGATTATGATTATGATTTTTTTTTCCCAGAACAAAGTGAAATTAGAGGGGGCCATATTGAATCCAATAAATGTAAGAAGAATTATTATATGAAAGGGGGGTTTTTTTAAAAAGGAAATATGACAATTTTCTTGATTAGGAATTTACCAAACAATTAATAATGGAATTTATTTTTAATTTAGTCAAGGAGAACACCAAAACATAGTCTAAGATAAAAGAATGATAAGAGCCCATTTTGAGCCCAGTTTGAAAGAAACTAGCATATGCTACCCGTGCACGGAGAGAATAGCCTTCCCAAAATTAATACGACAACCATAATTCATTTAGAATATTAATTAATTAACACATTAAGGCATATATTAGTAGATAATATATTCGTAAATGGAACGTGTTGAAAGAAAAATTTTGTCTAAATAACGATAAGTTCAAATCTGCAAAATAATCATAGAGATCTATATTTTCAAAATAAATAATTAGTTATTAATATCTCTTTTTAATTAAAAAAATTGATTATTTTAATCAACTTAAATGGTCCTTCATCTTTTATGATTATTTTTTGAAACAAAAAAACATACAAATAATTTTATAGTGCTTAAAAATTGTATATATAGCCAAAACCTGAACAAATATTTTAATAAAACATTTTAAATTATAAATATAAGTAACATTTAAATAAATATTTTTTATTTTCAGCTCTTATAATTTGCGTTAGTTGTATTTATTTAAGCAATACCGGATCAACGTCAAGACGTAAATTATAACACTTAATATTAAATATTTCTTGCAACAAAAATATTTTCAAATCTTAACGTAAATAGTTACAAACTGAAATTTTTTTTAAAGATTTCTTATATTGTAATGTAAAATGTTTTAGTCATATATACAAAATTTTAAACACTGAAAAATCATTTATATGTTTTTTGGTCTAAATATTAATCATAAGATATAAAGGATCACTTGACAGAGGTAAAATAATCAATTTTTATGTTTAATTGAAGAAGCGCATTCCAATAATTTAACAACATTCAAAAATTTCTAATAATTAGGTCCTATATCCGCATTAGGAATTTGTTAAAAGTAAACTTCAATATAAATTTAAGTATTTTAACTGGATTTTATTAAAATTTTTACTAAAACATTTTGCATTTCACTTTAAAACAATTTGTTTACCAATGACAATAATAATACCAGATACAATTAGTTTATTGTGTTGGATTTACCTTTTAGCTTCATACAAATAAGGTGGGAGAACAATAGAATTGTGATAAGTTGCTTAACCATTTGTACTCTACAAAAGTAATTATTTGAAAACTCAAAAAAAATGACTAGAATCATAAACTAAACAATTGCGATTTCAACCCAATATATTTAATATACTTGTTTCAATCTTACTTAGGCATAATTTATTCCATTCACTATATATGTAATTTATTTTGGAATTAAATTTAACTAAATGATTGCAATTTAATGCAAAGTTCAGCATTTATCTTCCTTATTGTCAATTAACTTTTCTTTTGTCAATTATCAAGAATATGACATCTTGATCTCTCCATACCAAAATCCTGGATTAAAATTTGGTAATACTAATGTACTCCTCCGGTCCTTAATATAGGACCCAATTGTTGAGTTGGTTTTGGTCCTAAATATAAGACCCATTTCTTATATTTATCATTTTTCTCTAAATTACCCCTATGGGTATTCCCTCAACCATAATCAAGTAGAAGAGGGAGATGAGGTATTAAGAAAGATGATTATGGTGTTTTAGAAAAAATATGTCACATTTCTTATAATTAACTAATTTACCTAACTTCCTTAATCTAATCAAATTAGTTAGATGGGTCTTATATTAAGGACCGAAGGAGTACATTCGATGAAGGCTAAAGTTACTGAAACAAAAGAAACCCTTGTGTGCACACAATATCCTATTATTGGAGACTTTTCTTTCAATGTTTCACAACAAGAGTAAACTTGACATTGTGAAAGACAGCCGTAGCAAATCATGATTTCCAAACATTCATACTGAATCTGATAATATTCTCTTCCCCCTTCTATATGCAGCAGTATATAATATTTGGATTGACTAATATCTTTATATAACATCTATTTTCAATAGTAGACAACCACCAAATACCATACAATTTCCATTGGTGGAGCCTTTTTCAGCATCTCCTCCCTCAAAATATGCTAGCTCAGATTGCTACCATATCCACCCTCAAAGGCTTGACTTTACTATGGTTAGCAGCCAAAAGTAAACTCCTATAAAGCGTACGATATTATAAAGCATAAGATATTTTAAGTTTGTAACTGAAAAGGTTTCATTTCATTTTCTACAATGAGCACAATGGAGAGAAAAACAAATCACCATTAAAACATCAAGAGAATCAAGTTGTCAAGAACAAGATCAAAGAGTCTAAAGCCATAGAACACTCAACAATCAGCTTAAATATGGATACAGATAAAGTGAAAAGAGAATCACTCCATCCTAATACTTTGTTCCATTCCCAAATCTTAGGTATCAAAGATTGTATAAGCAGAAGAGATAACCAAGTGTGTATCTTACAAGAGGCAATGCTGGTACGTTGGGAGGCACAACAAATTTTAAACATCCTGATCAAAGACAGGGCAATGAGTCAAAGTAGCATATTCGTATCTGTACAAATTATGAAAGTGTTTTTAAAGTGAACGATATAGAGGAGAACTGTAACTGCAATGGTGAAAGGGCCAGAACTGGGTCCATACATATTTTGACTCTTGGTATTGGTACTCTCGTAGTTCATAAACACTTTGATGAACAGGACTCAACCTCAGCCCCTCTCCAAAGGAACTCCTTATACATCATTATAAGAAATGCAATCATGATAATATCAATCATAAGGTTAAGTAAGGAGAACTTAATATTTAGAATACAAAATATAAAGCAATCGTGCCAATTTCATTTGCAAAGTGTAATAAGTAAGAAACAATAACAAACATGTCATGAACATAGTGGGGGAGCCCAAAGCTAATGCTGGATATATTTGCAATCTGTTAGATGATGAAGTATGATAAATTTCTATTAGACCCATATAAAAACTCTGATGAATGATAATGACAAATTATGCTATTTGACATGTTCAAAGAGATAAAGCATATTTGTCTGTTAAATCACCTTGAGACAACAATAAAGGACACGGTGTATGTGTCATAGAATCATGGTCTAAAAGACACTTGAATGATGAAAATAACTGAATGACTATAGTTTCTTAAAATTAAGAAAGAATGAAATGCATTACCTCATCAAACCACAATAAGAGATGGAAGCCTATTAAACTATCACCCCATTGAACAATAGTGTTATCTCCTCCTCCTCCTCCTCCTGCTTCTATGGTTATCAAGGATTTCTTAGGAGGAATGATCAAATTTTCAGTGAAACACAAAAGGTTCCTGTAATCCAATGCACAAGATGAGACGCTGGTGGAAGAAAAGGCAGTGATTAGCTCTGAAGTTTTTCATAGCCAACCAGAGATACCTTAAAATATTATCCCCAGTCTCACTTGAGAAAACTTCATCCCCCCAAAACCAGGAAATTTCATTTGCCCCGATTTCAATGTTCAAAATCTCAAGCATATATATTGTAAAAAAATATAATTTTCTTATGAAACATTCATATGACATACAAGCTTACATAAAATTTGCTGCTAGAGTGTAATTTCTATGAACATACAGGCTAATCAAAACATGGTGCAAGAACATACTTTCTTTGAGAAAAACATCTTCAAAGACAGGAGAAGTTATTATAAATGTTTGCAAAACATTCATATTTGGGGCATCCTTTTAAAGACCCTGGTTTAAGAAAATGGTCTAAGCACATTTTAGCAGGATAACATTCTGGTCATCTGGCGAATTAATGCTCTGCAACTTCAAAATAGCATTGTTCCCGTTAGCAACTCTCAGTATCAAGATTTCCCCGATTTGTCTGGACATGTATATTGAGAAAACACACACGCACAAATAGAAACTGAGATTATAAGCTTGCTATCCATTCATATGTTGATAACCACCACGGTGACAATTACACACATGATTGATACATAAAACAAATATGTGTGTGTGTGTGGGAATTTATCATAAAAATCCTTAACGGTGGTAAAGGAGGGGTAAGTAACATTTGGCCGATGTCAACAAACAATGAATACAGATGGGAACATGACACATGCAATGCCATTGAATGGAAGTCTCAAACGTTAGTGTTGGTAAAAGTCAGGAGCAATGACTCAACGTTCTCACCATCAACAATATGATCCTCTCTTAACACTAACTATACAAATAACACCGGATATTGTTAAATGATGACTCAAGTCTGATATTCAAAACCCAATAATAAAGTATATCATTTTAAAAGTAAGAAATGCAATATTTTTGTTCTAAAATAAGGTTGAAATTCAATTCTGATTAAACTCTTTGATGGAAAATATATTTGAAGAGATATTGAGTTTTATGATATTTATATCAACTATAAATACTGTTAAAAATTAGAATTATAAGTAAGTCAATCTAAAATAATTTTGAATGAGAACTTTCAAAAAAGAAATCCTTCAACTCAAAACCTTATCATTTTAATTTTTAATAATAAACTCCATACCTCACAATCAAACATGGGTACCATTTTTATTATTGAAATGGGCTGGTTCATGTCCTCCACCATGCGACCCCTGTTTAATCACATATGGAGAAGCACATAAGTTCATGTCTATCAAAGTTCTGCCTTAACATATAGGCATCACTTTAAAATGAAAGAGAAATGGCAGCTGACATTTACCATTTCTCCCATCCACAAATAAAGCGCATACGAACTTACATTAAAAGTTTGAAACGGAAGTTTTTATTACGATTCCAGCAAACTACTTTTAAATGGAAGTCAAATGGTATCTGCCCTTTAGGCTTTGTCGAATCACCAAGTAAAATGCAGACACATTGACATGAAACGAAAATAAGTTCCTGCTCGATTGTCTACAATGAAAGGACGACTTTACCCCAAAACATGTGGTTAAATCCCATTCGATTCTTTTGGCATGGTTTTTGCATGTGAACTGAACGTTACACATGTTAACCCAAAAAAAAAAAAAAAGCAACAAAATTTTCTACTATGCCCATCGATGAGGATTTCCATAATTATCCCTGGCACCCAACACGGCATGTTGGAGCCTACCTCCTACACTCGGAATGCCAACAAAGAAAACAAACATATAAGAACTGTGAATCAACTTTATAGGACAAATACATATAGAATAACTGTTTATTATTAAGTGTGAAGAACTTAGTATACACCAGTGAATAATAGAGCACTTGCAAAAATGAAACTTTGCTCATAAACGATGGAATGAAAATTAAAAAACATAATAAAGTGCAGCAGAAGCCCACGCCTGATAGTACATAATACAACAAAATAATTCAAAGTTCAAACATGGCATGAAACGCGTATTACACATCAGAAAGAATGAAAGAATACTGTGAATAAGAAGAAATCATAAAACGGTTTGTGGAGGAAGAATTTGAGATGATGATGATGAGGGAAGATAGGAAGCTTATAGCATCTGAGGTAGGGGATGGGAGAAGTACGAAAACCAGAGTTGCCGGCAGGAGGCTTGAGAATTTTGAAATTTGAATTTGAATTGGTAGAGAGCTCCTTGAAAAACGAATAGGCTGATGTGAAGCCATGTTTGGGCCCACTTGCCAGAAAGGATTTCTATAACATATTGATATTGATGATGATGATTGGTGTCTTTTGTGACCAACTTGGGATTATTTTTTTAGAGGGCTTTGGTTTAGCCAGCATTAAACAAAGGGGGAAAGGGGAGGGAAATTTCTGGAACGAGGGGGGTTGCAAGACACCAAAAAAAATTCACCGGCGACCTACCTACAAGGTCGCCATCCGTTGCTCTGTCCTCCTCGCCTTTCTTTCACTCATCCTTCATCTCCCTTGCTCGCTGCCTCTTCCTCCTTTCTGCATCATCAACTCGTCTCCTTCATTTTCTATTTTGTATGTCATGGTGGTGCATGCGATCCGCGTGGTTTAAGCAAGGAATTAGGAATATGGTTTAATGGAAGATGGTGGTGGGGGTCTCCGATTGAAGCAGGTAAATATCCTTTGCATCTTTTGGTTTCTTTTCAAATTATGATTTCTCTCCGTTGCAAGTTGGGTCTGGTTAAGGAATTGAGGCAGAAAATTTTGTGAGGTTGATGGGTTAGTTGACATTCGTGGGATTGATGGTTTATGAACTATCGTGATTTTTATTTACCTTTGTACTGAGTGTGCGCACACAGGGTGTTTGACGAATTGTGTGATGGATAGAAGTCATTTATTGTGAGCTATAACGATAAAGAATGTGTTACCAAATTGAACCAGAGGCAAGTATTCTCTATAATAATAAAGCGTTTTGATTGATAAAGGAATGTATGAATTGAAATTGGTTTAAATTTAAGATTGTCCGAGGGTTATGAGTAGAATTGTGGAATGCATTTGAAGTGTTTGTTTAATGTTTAAGAGAAGAATTGGATTGGGAGGCTGGTAAAATTTGCTAGAAAGCTAAGGCTTATGTTATAGAAGGGCGAAAAGAAGTTAATTGAAGTTTAAGTTCATGAAGGGAATGGTGGGACACTCATAGCTGACAAAATGCTTCGCGAAAAGGGAAAATAGATGTTATATTTCAGACTCATGGCATTTGGTTACTTAGCTAATATTTAAGGATGATAAAACTCAATCGTTATTCGAACTTGTAACTTTAGTATTTGTAGAAAAAGAAAAAGGGGTTGAGATTCAAGTTCCCTTACTATATCAAATTGTTGCAAATTGAAGATTAAGATGGTGTACGTTGGCGGCCAAAATCATTGTGCTAAATAGCTTTTGCGGCATATTATTGTTCATGATTTTAAGAGTAAAGAATAAGGATTATCTTAACGTATAATGAAAGTGTGAATAGCGTCTGATAAAGAGGTTTTTATAAATGATATTTTCTTATTTGTTTATTGTTGTTTAGCCACCCCATATTTTTCAAGTATTGTTTCATCAAAACAACTTCATTTCAATTGTACCATTATTCGTTTTTCCTTGTTCAATATTGTAAATTTCTTTTTACATCTTGAAATGCTCTTGTTTGAGTTATTATTACTCGAAAAAATGATTTTTTTTTTTGGTTGATGGAATTTGAAGAAAATATTTGAGATTTTTTGAACTTTCATGCTGGGATCTTTCGTTAAATATTCTATTTACATGTTTTCAATGATAGGAAAGATTCTTGTTTACTAATGATAAATTGGTCCCATATATGCTTGAAAATGATTTTTGTGAGAACTGAATACAGAATGGTGGCTGCTAACAGTAGTGTTGTTAGCCCTTGGTGTGCCATGGTAATATCAAGCTCACTCGTTATTCGTGGTTTCAGCCATGCTTGTTATTCGCGGGCATTGTTCCCGTCCTTGTTCTTTGTGTCTTTGGCTGCGCTTGTGATCGTGACTTCGGTCACGCTTGTATTCGTAGCTTTGGCTGTGCTTGTATTGGTGTATCATGATTAATATCGAGCTCACTTGATACTTGCGAACATTGTTTCGACTCTTGTTTTGTAGCTTCAGTTACGCTTGTACTCGTGGCTTCAGCTGCACTTGTTGGTTACTTACCTTCGTGGACTGTATGTCCATGCTTGTTGTTTGTTTTGTTGAAATTCTCTATTGAAAAATGTTTTTCAACTCTACTCATGATTTGATTTCAGAAACATATTGTTAAAATGCCTTATAAATTTTTGTATATTGAAAATGTTTTATATTTATATATATTTCATGTTATAGTAAATTTTTTCAATTTAAAAGTAATCATAAATCGACCTTGTTGTAGTTGTACAAGTTATTATTTTAGTATTTTTTTTGTTATCTTATTCTTATTAACAGGATGATATTCACTAGTAAAATTTATTTTGGCCTTAGATAACACAGCTAACCTGGCACCTTCAACTGAATAGTAAGAAGGAGAGAAAAACTCTCATTGGTGATCAAAGTTTAGAACAACCGCGAATTGATGCAAAACTAAGTTACATTTATGTAATTATTTATTTATGTTTTAGATCCTCCACGTAATTTATAGGCAAACCTTTGCCTTCATTTATTATTTTAAATATATGAATATATGTTCGTATTGTTGTGGAGGGGAGCTCCTTTTTTTGTGTAGTACCTGCAGGTTATTTGCAGAATTCTTATGAATGGCCTTATATTTTGATTACAAGAGATCTATTTTATATGAATGGTATTGTAATTATTATGGCAAGTGTTTATTCATATGTTCTTAGGCTTTAGGAATGTAAGTTGTCTCATATTTCGTACTAGTCACCCCTAAATTTTTGGGGTGTGACACTTGGTGTACGAGGTAAGCCTAAACCATCATACATGTGATGTTCTTTCATTTTGAGGGGAAAATATTTATTGAAAAAAAAAATTCTAACTTTAGCATTTTGCTGTTTGATTTTGGATAAGTGCGAGCTTAGCATCGTCTGAAAGATCAAAAGTGAGAAGCAGATATGGAGAAATTAGGAGATATCATATGGGATATTACAAAGTATTTATGTGGTTGCGCCAAACAAGAAACTGAGTTTATTTATAAGTTGGAGGAGAATGTGCAAGCTCTGAAAATTAAATGGGAAAAGCTTGAAGCTAGAAAGAAGGATGTGGAAGAACAAATTGAGAAAGCTGAGGGTACCGGAGAGGAGCAAAGGACACATGAAGTCAATCTTTGGCTCCAACGTGTCCACAACATTCAAAAGGTACGAACTCTTCATTTTACATTTATTTTTTTCCCTCTATTTAGTATGTGGTGTTTTTATTTACTTCGATTGTTTCTGTTCATGAATTAGATCATTTCCATATTCAGCTATCAATGATGTTGTTAATTAAGTAATTCCTTAGCTCAGTAATTTATGATAATTTAATTGAAATGTGTTCGTTCAAACCAAGCTAGTTAAGCACATTTAAAATTTTTCAGATAAGTGTGAAACTCATATTATATTGAATTTATTTGAAATTTTCAAGGAACAAAAAACCGGACCGGACATTAAACCGGTCAAGACAGTGGGTTAAGAGTTACTGGTCGAACCGAGGTCGAACCGGGGTCGAACCGGTCATATTAAATAATATAATTTAATTCATAATATTAAAATGAAAGAAAAGATGAGAAGCTACAAAAGTTGGTTTAATGTTTAATAGTATCAAGCAAATATTAATGAAATGCATATCTTCACTATGAAAAATCAAAATCATCACTAAGATTATTAGCATAGACTGAGATGTTAATAGCGGGATGAGGAAAAGCAGAAGTAACAACATCATCTTGTAAAAATAGAGGGTCAGTAATGTCCATATCTTCATCACATATGTAAAACAATGATCAATATTAACAATCATAAAAAAAATTATATATTTGTATAGAAATAAAATCTTAATTATATATATAAAGTTATAAACCTTCATTAGCTAAAATTTGGCCAAAATTTGTTTATTACCTAAAATCATAATTTTAAATCATTTAAATCAAGGACCATTTATTATTTGCAAGTTCTCTCACCCCCTGTCTCATTCACGTGCACTCTTTTTTGTTATCCCTTCCACGCCACCGTCAAAATCAACATGACACATAGGGAAGATACATTGTCAGGTTCTTATTTACTCCCTTGTTAATTAATATTTTATTCCTCCTTTCTTCTCTTTCTTTCCAGCCTATTCTCGATGCATTTTATTTCAATTTCATAACTCTTTTCTTCTTTATTCCCCAAACTTTGAATTTCAGTCAACTTCCAAAAAGGAGAGAGCTTGGATGAGCGAAGAGTACAGCCTCACTATTTTGCTGAAGCGAAGTAGTTGTAAGGCGACCTCATCTCCGTCTTCTTCCTCCCCAGATTTGGCGACTCATCTACGTCTTCTTCATCCGGCGACCTCTCCTCCATCTTCTTCTCCCGGCGACCTCATCTCTAGCCATCATCGAGCTCATCTCTTTCCCACTTTTTTTGGATCTGGTAACCTTCACCTTCACTGGACAATCCCCATCAATGCCTAAGTCTCCATTTCTCTTTCTCTTCTATCATTGTCCACCTCTTCTTCTTAGATCTTCCATCATTGGCTCCATTTTCAGCGTTCGAAAATGATTTTACAGAGAACCGGGTAACCCACCCAACCAGTGGGTTACCCAAGTTTTTATCGGTTGATACCGGTTTGGATCGGTTGACACCGGTTCAGTTTTTAGCCGGTTTAGAGCGTGATTCGGACCGGACAAGTGGCCGGTTCACCGGTTTCCGGTCTGAACCGGCCGGTCCGGTCCGGTTTTTTGTGCCTTGGAAATTTTATCACGGTATAAAAACAAAACTAGTTTCAGTGCTAATTAGAGTGGTGATTACCCCAAGTTTATCATATTTGGATCATTTAGATCTGATTTAGATGATATGAATTTAATTTATTTTTTATTTTTATTTTTTAAAATAATTATTTTAATGTGTATATAATGTAAACTAAAGACGATGTCTTTCTTAAGAACATAATTAAGTAAGCAACATTACCTTATATTAGCATAATTAAAAATTAATTTGAAAGTGTGCGTATTGCGTACATAAAAACTTGATTTATCAATATCCATATTACAAGCTGTCCAATATTCAGTTAAAAGAAAAGTACGTAGAAATAAATATAATTAGAAAACTATGTACACTTGATTATCTTTTGTATGCTATTAAATACCTAGCTAAAAGAATACTTCAAATCGAGAACATTTAGTTGTGAGTATAATGTTTTTATATGGTTTTTTATTCAGTATTCATCACAGCAATAAGCATTGTGTGCTTATTATTGTAATGCAATCTAGATCATCTAAAATCTCATATAGATGATTCAGATTTAAAATTTTTAATATGCAATTTTTTAATAATGAATTTATTCTTCAAAGAAGTGTTAGTTATAGGATTGTATTTATTTTAACTTTTGTATCTATTAAAACATAAAATTAATTAAAATATATTAAAAAAAATTGAATTCAATATGAACCATCCAAAATCAATCTAGATGATTCAAGTTAACATGAGCACTATGAGCATGGAATGTGCTCCAAAAAAAAAAAGCTTCCATCCCATATGAACAACAAAATTTCTCTCTCTCTCTCTCTTTTTGCTACCTCCTTTTACGGGAGAATTACAGTCAAGTTTCACAGAAGAGAAATAATTACTAAAAAGTCTTAATAATAACTTCAACAACCTATAATGACAAGTCCTATAGTGAGAATGACAACTTCTGGAACTTGTTTTTCAATTGTTTTTCTTGCTTGGGACCTTAATGTAATTCTCTTCTCTCCGACCCTTCCACCGTATCCACCACTTAGAGCCCATTTGACGGGAGAAGGGTGTGGGATCAAGTTTCAAGAGTTGTGATTGGGTATCCTCTGTGTGTCTGTCTTTTTGAAAGTTTATTAAGGAGAGACAACACCTTCTGAAGATGAGAGTTGGAATTAGAAGCAAGAGAAGAAGAAAGAGAGAGAGCCCCATGGAAGAAAAAGCTGAAATTTTAAAAGCAAGTTAAAATGAGTGTGTTAAATTCGCTAGGTGCGGTGAGATCAGCGGCTTGTTTTCTCGCTGATGCATTGGGGTGAAAATTCCTAAGCAATTCTCTCCACTTCCTAAACTTCCATTTCCTTAACTACAATGCTTCTCCATCAGTGGTTCTTCGTAGTTGGGTCAGTATCAATTTGGTTCTTATTTTTTGTTGATTTGTGATTGTGATTGTGATAAGAATATTTATTTCTTTCACGGGGATTTAAAAAAAAAAAATAACCATGTTTGCTCTGTCTTTCGTATACAATTTCATGCACTGCCCAAAGAAATAGTCAGCATTTCATGGTACAGTGGTTACCTCTTAAGCTTATATAGACAAGATTCTAGTGATCTTGGCATGGTTGGTGCTGGGTAACGTGGAAAAATACAAACTTAAAGGCTATCCATTGTTTTTTATTTTGGGGGGGGCACAAATATACGGCTTTGATGACAGCTGTAAAACCCTTAATCTTAAAACATTATAACTCATCATAAGACCACTACTATGGTAGAAAAAGAAAGATGTTACAACAACTACCATAGTAGAAAGAAATTGCGTAATTTTAGAAAAATTAACATTTAAAACTTGGTTCCATCTCAAACGCAGTTGCATGCAACTATCATCATTCAATCACAATCACTGGGCCTCCGAGCCTCCGGCTCGAGTAACAAAAGACAACAAAATTAGCCCATCCAAATGGTTTCCAACCATGTAAATCCAAGTTCCATAATCAGTAAAAAGGGGCCTCCGGCCCAATTAAAATAAGAAGAAGATACACTTCCTCCAGTTTACAAATAAACCGGGCAATCAAAATAGTTTAAAAGGACCCTAAACGTGGCAATATACAACTAGCCATACATAAACAAAGGTTAGAGGCCTAAAGCTAACCAAGCTCAAGCCTCTGCGTCTCTTCCCGAAGGCGCACGCCTAGAACCTTCACCTGAAAATATTGTAAACCACGGGGTGAGACAAAGTCCCAGTAACCAACCTTTCCAATACTAGGTACTACTAAATAGGTGCTCGTGAGGTGTCAAGTGGGGCAGTTCACAAATCATATATATACATTGATAGCCACAACAATTCATGCAAGTGCAATGATGCAATCCCATCAATCAAATCCCTCACTTTGGGGGATTTTCAGGAGCCGAACCCGGCCTATCCCTCACTGTAGGGGACGTAAGGAGCCATAAAAGGCCTATCCCTCACTCTGGGGGACGTAGGGAGCTAAAAGGCCTATCCCTCACTATGGGGGACGTACTAAGCCAACCATCATGCATTAATGGAGGCCTTACCACGTGGTAGTAACAGACAAGACTCTCACCAATTCCCAATTAATGCATCATGCTCAAATCATAAGCAAAGAGTAACAATCATTTCACAATTCCAAGATTCATTCATCATAAATCAAAACCCTACAAGACGGTTTTCCCTTTTTATATACAACATATAGTTTGAACACAATTACTATTTGGAGCACAAAACACAAATCTACTCACAATACCACAGAAGCAAGTACTAAGGATTGGAAAGTGGTTACCTCTCGCCTGAGCAAGGAATAACAATCAACAATGTGGCTCCGTGCACCACCAAGACTCACAACCGATCTACACAAGCACACAAACATACAACCAACATATATTAGCTTTCAAACTAATAATGTGGCCAAAACAACACTTGGGGACACAAAATTCCTATCTTCCATCAAAACTCTACCCAACTCAAAGGGTATAACTATCAAAACAACACTCCAAAGTCCTCAAAGTCTATTAAAACATCAAGTCTCCTTCCAAGCATCAATTAGAGTTCAAACCTCAAGGACCCACTATAGGAATTCAACCTCCAACATCTCATTTGAGCAATTAAGGTTCCAACAACAAATCTAAACCGATTAAACATCCAATTTAACCCTTCTTAACATAACCCAATTCACAAAACTCAAAATCAATCTCTACATTATCATCCTCAATCCCAAATCATCCAATTCCACAAACCCTAGCTCCAAAAATTCAAGATTCTTTAAATCCAAGGAAACTACACCGATTAAACACTTAAACTAACCCAATGCAATCAATTAAACTCAAAACAATCGGTCAAAAACCTCAGTTCCAACACAACCTAGAAAATCCTAGGGTTTCACCATAATTCCTTATAGATTCCAAGAAATCCCAAGAAAGGAAGAAGATTAGATGTTAAAATCACTTACTTGAGGTAATAGATCCTTAGAAATGCCTTTCCCAAGCCTCAACAACGAAACCCTAGCAGAGCTCCTCTCTCCTCCTCAGATTTTCTTATTTTTCGCACGCTGACTGCTCTCGCGAATATATAGATTCGCGACCTTTCACCGCGGCGAACTCCATCTTCGCCGCGGCGAACTAATCCCGAGAGGAATTAGTCGCCTGAAAACCTGACTTCGCCGCGGCGAAAGCTTCCCGAGAGGAAACTCTCGCTCGCCCAGAAAACATTCGCCGCGGCGAAACCTTCCCGAAAGGGAAGCCTCGCTCACCTGAACAACTTCGCCGCGGCGTCCCCTAGACTTCGCCGCGGCCAAACCTTCTCGAGAAGACACCCCCCTCTGAAACTCCCGGTGTGCCGCGGCGAAGCCCTGAGAGGAGTACGTTCACCTATGCCTCCAACCAACCTCAAATCCAACCCAAACACCAAGATCAGATTAAATCACTAATCTATCCTCAAAATCAACCCAAAAGAGGCCATTAAAACCCAATCAAACTTAGGATGTTACAACAGCAACCTTGACGGTTAACTACGGAGGGAGGGAGCAGAGAGAGAGTACTTATGTTGTTCAGATGGGATGGAAGCTTTTTTTGGAAGGTAAAAAACCAACATTAGTAGACTGTTAATCGAAAGGGGACATTGCTCCACTTTTTTGCATTCTAAAATATTTTCAGGTACTGAATGTATCTTATAAAATATTTTAAGATATTAAATACACTTTAATTCTGATAAAAATACAATATCTTCTACCTCTAATATAATTTTGTCGAGCAGAAAAATAATAAAATATTAAACTGATGTTCTTATTATTTTTGTTTTACAAAACATATTTTATTTTTTTATTGATCAAAAACCGTTTTCAAACATGTTTTTTATTTGTCGTTTTTAAAATTATAAAAAAGAGCTGTTTTGTCAAGAGGAAACCAAACGAGCCCAGCCAAAATCTTTAACAATATCGTTCAGCTTTTTTGGTCAAAAAAACTGTCATTCATATTTGGCCAAAAAAATTTTCATTCATTTATATTAAGATATGCAATTTCTTATCTTGATATCAAAACTGGATATGGAAGTGTGCTTAATTAGTTCATGTAAAGATTCAGAAAAAGGGGGGCAAAGAAATATCAAACTAACTGATTTTGTATTCGCAGGAAGTGGAAGACAATCAAGTTCAAGGAGCCCAAGAAATCCAAAACAAATGCCTAAGCAAGTGTTGTCCCAAGAATTGCAAGTCAAGCTACAAGGTGGGAAAGAATGTTGCCAAGATACTCACTGAAGTAGATGATCTAACGGCCGAGGGACAAAGATTTGGTAAGGATTATCCAATTACGCACAAGCCACCACATAAAGGAATTGGTCAAATACCTCTTGATGAGACTGTGGGGCAAGATTTGATATTTGATCAAGTATGGAGTAGAATTGAAGCAAATAATGTTGGTGTTATAGGTTTATATGGGACTGGAGGGGTAGGAAAGACCACTTTATTGAAGAAAATTAGTAATGAACTTGGGAAGAGAAAGCCCGATTTTCTTGTGATTTGGGTGGTGGTATCCAAAGAGCTTGACTTGGATGCAATCATGGACAATATAAGAAAATCAGTAGGAATTGGAGATGTTACTTGGAGTTCTTGCAATAATCAAGAGGAAAAATCTTCAAAGATTTGGGGTGTGTTGAAGCAGAAAAAATTTGCTTTATTACTAGATGATATGTGGGAGAGATTGGACTTGAATTTGGTGGGGGTACCCCATCCAAAAGATTCAAACTTTGAGTCCAAAGTGTTATTCACAACACGATTGGAGGATGTATGTGCAAAAATGCAAGCTCCAAAACCACTCAAAGTGGACTTTTTGAATGAAAAAGAAGCATTAGAGTTATTTCATATGAAAGTTGGAGAGGAAACTTTAAACTCCCACCCTAGGATCAAAGACCTAGCAAAAGAAATGGCAGCAGAGTGTAGAGGGCTGCCTCTTGCGTTAATTGTGGTAGGACTTGCCATGGCTGGTGTGAAAGATGTTAAAGCATGGGAGTCCTCAAAAAATAACTTGACAAGTTCTCCATGGACCACTACAGATTTGGACACAAAATTTTTTTCCATCCTTAAGTTGAGCTATGATCAATTGCCGGATGATACTCACAGAAATTGTTTCTTGTATTGTGCATTATATCCAGAAGACTATGAGATTCAAGTCACTGATATCATCTATAAATGGATAGGGGAGGGGTTTATTTGTAAAGGTATGACACAAAACATACAAGACATTCGTAATAATGGTCAATCTGTGATTACGAAGTTGAAGCTTTGTTGCTTGTTGGAGAGTGTTGAAGATGATGTTGTTTTAAGTCGTTCATTTAAGATGCATGATATGATTCGAGAGATGGCACTGTGGTTATCTTGTGAAAAAAATAAAAGAATTAAAAGGGTTCTTGTACAAGAAGATGCCATAACAACATCCCATGATGATGTTGAAAAATGGAGAATTGTTGAGAGGATTTCAATTATGAATAGGGAAGTACGGCATGTAGCACCTGTAACCTATCCCAATTTAGTAACATTATTGTTGAGGCGTTGTCGTATACAACATTTGCAAAACCTCAAATGCATGAGCAAATTAAAGGTGTTAGAATTACGTTGTCCTGATATATGTGAACTTGCAGAAATTGGTGAGTTAGTTCTATTGGAATATCTTTGTTTAAACATAGATGGATCTGAGTGTCCCAAGGAGTTGAAGAATTTGAAGAATTTGAAGGTATTCAATTTGCACTTGAGTGATGGTAATATTGCAAGCATTCCATCGGGAGTGATATCAAGTCTTCAACAATTAAGAGTATTGAGAGTTTATTGCCGGAGGGGAGTTCGAGAAAATAGCGAAGCAGAGGGAGAATTCCTAGAGGAGGTGGAATCTTTGCCAAAAATTGAGGAAATAAATGTTGCAATAGAAACAGAAAATGGCCTCAAAAAGTTACTTCAGTCAGACAAATTGCTGAGTTGTATATATGCTGTTCGCCTCCATGAATTGGACACCATTGAGATGCCTTTATTATTGGCATGCATTTCAAAAATGAAGCGCCTCCAACAATTGGCTCTGCTTCAATTATCTGGTTTGAAAGATTATTCTGGTATTTCTGATGACACCTATTGTCTAGGCATGCTTCAAAGCGTGTTTATCGCTGGTTGCCATTCATTAATGCATGTCACATGGCTCAAGCATGCTCCACTGCTTCAACTACTTGTCATTACTGAGTGCCCATCAGTGGAAGAAGTGATAAAGGAAGATGAGAATGAGGATTCTTCTTCTGTATTCTCTTCCCTTGTAAACCTATATCTGTATGGAATGCCAAAGCTTCAGAGCATCCATAAGACCGCCTTGTCTTTTCCTTCCCTAAAAACCATCACTATAGCAGAATGTCCAAATCTGAAAAGGCTACCACTTCCTTCCAACTCTGCCAAACAACTAATTATCCGCGGACACGAAGATTGGTGGAACAGTTTGGAATGGGACGCCAAACACAATTTCCAATCAAAATTTCAGCCCCTCACGTCGGATGACCTCAACATAAATTTTCAAGGTAAAATACATTGGTAACATCAATGCACACATTATTCTTTACTGTTCTTTTAATTTTTATGACGTAATATAATTTTACGCTTTATAGATATAAAACATAAGCATATTGCTTTTGACATATGTCAAAATGCTGGCCCAGCTCTATCCTTTATTTACTGAATGCTGAAAGGTAGCCATGTCATCGTGTGATTATGTATGCGTGCAAATGTTTGGGTGTGATTCCTTCATCTCTTTTCTCTTCATGAAATTGTTAATTGTTTCTTCGGTTAATTGGCTTTTTATAATTTGCAGATTGGCTTCCTGCTGTGGGATTGGATTTCCTTGTTGGTTCTTACAGCTTCGTTGATTTCACTGAAGGTTGATTAGCTTCTTTTCAAAATAAATTAAAGGACCACCAAACACGACGTATGTATTTTTATTTTGCTTCCCAATTTGTGTAAACTTTCTGATTCCCCATTGCACCCTTCTGTACGTACCGAGCAATGGTAATTGGTCAATAATCTATTTTGAGTTTTTCCTTTCTTGGTGGTCATAATAAGACTCTGAATATTGATCAATAATTCACTGAAATTATTGGCATTTTGAAAACATCTTTTTTCTGAAAATTAAAAAGACAAAAACGCCAGCCTCGGAGGAAAAATCATACAATAAGAAACATAATAATTCAACCTTAGATCTTACCCATTAATTCAATAAATTAAGATTTTTGACCAATCTAACAGTGAAAGAATCTAAGCTACGTGGTTTGGGAATTTAAGAACTAGTATTCATATTTTAACGTAAAATTATATGTTACGTAATAATTGTTAATATAAATAATATGTAATAACGAGGAAACGAAATATTTATTTTTCAATCAAAATATCTTTCGTAAAATTAATTTTAATATTCCTTCAACAACTAAATATTAGCATTAATAAAATTAATTCTTTTAATTATGATAGGGCTAGATGTTTCAAGAACTCATTATAAACATTTAATTATGTAGTTTTTTCAAACTTGAGTCGGATAATTTGGAACAAAGAAAAGACTTGAGTCGGATAATGATCATTACAAACCATAACTAGTTGCAAATTGCAACTATTTGTAATTATCTGGAAATTTAACAAAGGAAAATGATTTAAATTAATACATAATTGATTACAATATTTCTACTACTAAGTGCTAATTAAAAATTATGATGGATGACCAGTTCATTTGTGTGAGGAAACCGAAGCTAAGAACTGAACTCTGACCAACTTTCATTTTTCAGGACAAGTTAATTTCAAATCCTGTAAAGGTGCGCTAGACGAACCATGAATATATGTTACTTTTTTATATTCACTTTTTTATATTGTTTTTATTAGTTACAGATAATTGAATTATTATTTTAACTAAAAAGTAAGTTAAAATTAGTTAAAAATAATAAATACGTAAGAAGTGTTTTTTTTATAATAAATATACCCTTATTTATAGAAAGGATGGGTGGGAAAAGGAGATTAGAAAGGCATATAATTTAATTAGTTGGGGACAGAAAGGCATATAATTTAATTAATTGGGGATAAATGAAAAAAAAATGTATGCAACAAAAATTTAAAATGCTCCAGCTTATAATTTTTTAGGTGTGATTGTCATTTAGGAACTATGAATACCAGCAAGCTTGGCATTTATGCACGTATAATAGTAAAGGCGAACTTCCTAATGCAAAACCAAAACCAAATATTAATTCATAATTAATTACTCAAAACACTAGGAAATTAATGAAGCATAATAATAGTGAAAAAATCAACAATCCAACTAGATTTCAAACAAGTCAGAAATATGCAGTGAAATATGTTCAAAGGCCTAGCAAGCCCAAATTAAAGGATCCCCTAAAATCAAAAGAAGACCATTGCATTCCAAGCCTTAGTATCTGTTGCACAATATGAGTATTAGCAAATACCAAAACCAAAAAGTATCCTAAAACAAATCCAAAACTAAACCAAAACATATCAATTGATGAGGAGTTTTATTATAGGATTCCTTTCTGTATTATTATAGCATTATATTAATGTGTTTGTACGATTTTTAGAACTCATTGAGGGCTCATTGAGGGCTCATTTATCTGAAGTGAGACGCATTATTCATTTAATTTCTCATAAATAGTACAGATTTCAATAGATTTTGGATGATATTTTCATATTGATGATTCATTTCTGTTTATTAATGAGTTTCTCAATGCTCATCCTACTACCTTATTTCTTCTTCTTTTAGTTTAGGCTACTAGTATTATCCAGCCATTATTTTATTTGCAAATTAATTACCATCCTTCTGCTTTCAGTTCCGTGTAGTTATAATTGCTCAAGGTCAATAGTCTTTTGTTCTATCTAAAACTGTTTCAACTTGCAAGTCTCTTTCTTGGTGATATTGTAGTTCTATGGTGTAATGTATGTATATTGTGGTCCAATTTCTTTTCCCTGCTTTATTCTACCAAGCACGGTGGTGTGGTTCTATTTATTTATTAATGGATGCGCTTCTAACAAAAGAACAAAAGATTGGACAGGACACTAAACTGGTCAAAGGTTCAATGGTCAGTGCGTCAGACCAAGATCAACTCGGGATCAAACCAATCATATTAAAATAATATAATTTAATTAAAAATAACAAAATACAACAATATTAATAATCACTAATAACAAAATACAAGGAAGTGTAACAATAGTTTGATTGTAATAATAATAAAGTATAACAACATTGAGAATGTTCATCTTTACCATTCCTCAATAACTAAAATTAATAATCATTGATACCAAAATTATTATTAAGGTTCATTCAAATCTATAGTGATAAGATATTAGAAGTTGAATGATGAAAAATGGAACACATAATAACATAATCATTCAACTCGGTTGATCGCCGATTTACCCTAGTTTTTACGGGTTTACTCCATGACCAGTTTAGTGCTTAAACCAGATCAGACGACAAGTGGCAAGTCTGGTCTAATTTTTTTCCCTTTATTTTTTTCCTTTTAGAGTCAGTGCTTGTATATATTGGTCCCCATATCTAATTCATGGAATTTTTAGCTGCACAATACTCAAAATTAATGCTTTTCTTGCCTTATTTGTTTTCATCTTGGGATGCCTGATCACTGATTTCTTGACTCTTGCTTTTATATTTGAATATTTACGGCAAGGAATTTAGTGCAAATAACATGAATCATATGAGTGGAAGCCCCCACAGCGAACTAGTGAGACATTATATTCGTGTGCCTGAATATTGTTTACAATAATTAATACTGTCAATGTTTTGTAATGTTGTGCGTGTTGACTGACTAACTGAGCTATATGATTTTTAATTAAAGCTAATTAATTTTCTTGATACTTTTTTCTTTATTTCATTTCCCCATTTGACTGAGTGGACTTTAATTTACAATAGTTATTTTAGTTTTAATAACTGTAGTGAGAGACTCGATGATATTGTATGTAAATGTATATTGTAGATTTTTTAAAAGAAAAATTTAAAAAGTTACAAATATTTGATTTGCACAATTATAAACTGATGAATTTTAACTGCCGATGGGGCATTTAAGTTTGAAATGCAACTTCTAATTTACAATTGGGTATCCTATTTGCAAATGTCTCAATATTTTTCCGAAATTTTTTTTTAAGGATCCAATTATCATTAATTTATTATTTTAAGATTTAAATGTCATTATATTCTTTCAAAAATAATATATTGAGATTCTTGTCTCTTGACTTGAGTTGAGTCAAATGATTATCAATCATGACCAATAGCAGAGTAGAACTATTTTTAATTTAATTGTTTACCTAATATTTAGTGGTGAAAAGCTTAGACGCATATTATATATGTGTATGTATGTAACAATTAACAATACAAGATCTGATCCAGCAGCAAAACTTCAAATTAAGAATCAAACTCTAATCACAACTTGAAGCCATAGAAAACGTAATTTTCATATTTCAAAACAAAAAAATTCATTGCTTCATTGCCAACTCGAGTGGCGATCTTTTGTAATGATGATTCCTAACTTGTTCATGCATGTGAGAATTAACGAAAGCAAAAGAAAGAAATCATGGCATTCTAAAGAATAAATCAATGTCCATCTCATCAAAGAAAAATAAAGATCAAGTAAGACATCAGATGCTTCAATTTACTTTTTAAATCCCATCAATTTGCATCATCAACTGTCTCATGCAAACTCATAAAATATTGCAATGTCTTGGTGTACGAAATAAGCCCAAACTATCATACATGTGCTGTTCTTTCATTTTGAAGGAAAAACACACACACACACACACGAAGAAATGACCAAAAATTTATGAAAAAACTCTAACTTTGGCATTTTACTGTTTTGATTTTGGATTAAATGCAAGCTTAACTAGCATCGTTTGAAAGATCAAAAGGGAGCGAAGCTTATATATATGGAAAAACTGGGAGATATCATATGAGATATAACAAAGAATTTGTGTGTTAAATAATGGAAAAGGCTTGAAGCTATGAAGAAGGACGTAGAAGCTCAAATTGAAGAAGCTAAGACTAGTAGAAAGGGGGAAAGGAGACATGAAGTTGGTGTTTGGCTCCAAAGTATCCAAAAAATTCAAGAGTCGCTCTTCAATTAATACATCTATTCTCTTTTTTTTCTCCCCCTCTTATTTAGTATGTGATGTTTTTATTTATTTGATTGTTTCTGTTCATGAATTAGATAATTTCCAAATTCAACACCAATAATGTTAACTAAGTAATTCAAGTTCTAAATACTTTGCTCAGTAGTTTCTCATAAGTTAATTTAAAGTTGTTAATTAGTTGTAAATCGAAAGTGCTCTAAACCATTTTTTTTTTAAAAAAAAAAAGTGTTGTTCAGACCAAGCTAAGCACTTTTAAAAATTTTGGATAAGTGTGAAATCTATATTATATTGAATTTATTTGAAACTTCTTCACAATATAAAAATATCATGCTTACAGCTACGCGTCCTCTAATCAGGTGTACATATTTTTCTAATTAAATTTATCTCTACTTTTCTTTTAGCTGAAAAATTAGGCAGCTTGTAAAATGGATACTGATAAATTGATTAAATCAAGTTTTTATGTATGTGATGTTGCATCTAACTAAAAATTTCTCTCCTACGTAATATAGGGACTAAAATATTTAATTAGATTTTAAATATTATAATAAACGGCATAGGAGTTTTTTTTTTATTCATTCAAATGGGATTTAAATTAGAGATACCAAATTTAAAAAGAACATATAAAAATTTAAAATTAATTATTTACTTCTCTATTTAAGCCTAATTGACACACTATTTAATTATGATGTTTCACATTTAATTTAATATATTTAAATTTCAATTAAGATATTATTTAAATTCAAAATTAATTATTAATTTTTTTATTTAAGCCTTCAATTGAAATCTCATTTAATAATAATGATACTTCTTATTTAATTTAATATACCCAAGTTCCAATCAAAATATTATTCTGAAGAAATTATTTCCAATCTTTTTATTCACATGGGAATACACACCAGCCAAAAGCCCAAGTAAAGAAAGCAAAACGCATGAATAAAGTTTCAAAGGAAAGAAAACGTTGAGGCTAAAAGGAACCATTATTTCAAATCATATAAATTCTATCAACAACTAAACCCGTCCATAAATTCATAATGAAATTAAAACATACCAAGCTTGGCATTTATGCAATTATAATGGCAGAGCGATCTTCCAAATACAGAACCAAAACTCTGGTAAAAAAAAAAAAATACAGAACCAAAACCAAATATTAATTATTAATTGCTTAGCCCAAACTCAAAGGGAGACCATTCCCAGCCTCAATATCCTGTCCATATTATATGAGCATTTGCTTGTTAAAAGATTGTACGAAGCTCATTTACTTTACGTTTCTAAATATTTCTATGTTCCTTTTACCTTTTTCTAAGCCAGCGACTAAAGATATATGTTAATAACAACAAAAACTCTAATGTTAGGTATTTGTATTTATAATTAAGCACTCTAAATTTAATACAAGCTCTTTTAAAATCAAACTGAGTTAAACAATCCAAAATTTTGCTTCTTTACATATAGAGACCGAGTATGAGTTTGAATCCTAAATCTCTAGTAGACAACCTGACTGGACGTGGCCCGTATGGCCCATTGGGCTTCCGAACATTCTCCAACTGCTACTCTTAAGGTCCAATAAAAAGCCCACATATGGTTCTGCATACCCACTAGATCCAGTCACCAACAACGTCCCCTCCAACCCCATACTCATGTGCGCCACTTCCCGGATTTCACATGGCAGTTTCGCCACGGTTTCCCACGTGCCGCCTTCTGATGCCACCACGTCACCACCGCTGCACATGTAAACTCTCCCTCCATCACCACTGTCCACGCAGGTCCTCGGGCACGTGGCCGATCCCAGGAACTCATCTTCTACTGGGTCCCACTTGCACGTTGCAACGTCAAAGGCTTCGGCGCTTCTCTCAAACCGCCCTTGCATCTGCGTGCAGTAACCGCCTATCACCTGAAACTTCCTGTTTTGACGGTGGTAAACCGCCTTGCACTCGTCCCTCTCCCTATCCATGTCGGGAAGTGAGACCCACTCATCTCTGGCCACGTCGTAGGCTAACGCCGACCTCAAGGCATTCTTCTCGTCGTCGTGACCACCAGCCACGTAGACAATTCGTTCGGAATCGGACGCGCAGGCGAAGAACGTCCTCGGCCCGCCCGGCATGTCGGCCCCACGTCGCCATTTAGCCGACATGAAGTTATAAATAAAGACCGAATTCGAAGACTTCCACGAGGCTGGGTCCCACCCGCCAATCAAAACCAAGTCGTACCCGACACCCGCTATTCGACAAAACATGGGTAACCCGCCCGAGTAACCCGGAGGCGGCGGCAGCTCGTTCCACTGACCCGACTTCGTCTCGTACACACTCAAACGATAAGTCGGGTTTGCCGAACCCTTCATCAAACCACTGCCTTGTTTATCCAAATCGACTCGTGCTTGAACCATCACGATGAGCCTCTGTATATGACCTGTGTCCATCCGTCGCCGGCGAAACTCCGGCATCTCAATCTCCGTCTTCCACTTCTTACAAACCGACGCAACGGTGGGGAACTGATCGTAGGAAACCCGAACCAAACACTCCATGGCCACATCATCCGGTAGACCCGAAATCAGATCCATCGTCGATAGCAGAACACGGTTAAACCAAAAGAAGGAAAATCAGTCAAGTAGAAGGAAGCACCAAGTAGGATTAAATCTTAGAAAGGGAAGATTTAGGAACAGTGAAAGATTTAAAGATTGATTGAGGAGAGAGGTAGACGCGTCCGATTGAGGCAAAAAGGAACAAACATCTGAGAGAAGAAGGAAATGGGCGGTTGATTTTTATAGAGGCTGAAGGGAGTGGTCGCGACGATAAGCATGAAGGGATGTGAGGATTGGGTGTTCTAGAAGAAGGCTTTTGGGGGATTGAGTGAGGCGCATTGAAAGAGACAGCTGCGTCTTGGAGTGACCACCGGAAAACAGGCGCGCCCAATGGCAATATGGCTGTTAGTTTTTTCGTTTTTTTTAAATTAAAATAATCAACTTATTTAATTTTTATTTATAAATCTTTACGTGCCCACAGTTGAGTTGTTTTGTTTCTGCGGATTTCCATCCAGTGTGGATCTGCATCTCCTTATGTGCTAGTACCTGCGGTATTAAAAATTAATCATTTTCAATTCATATATAAAAAATTAAAAATTAAAAATAATTTCAACTTTCAGCAGACGTATGCACACTATGAAACTGTTCTTGATTCTGTTAGGCGCTGATCAGCTGGGATACAGTAATTTTTTCTTTTGTTGATGTAAGCAATTTAAATCCTCCCCTGCACGAAAGGAAAGACCCCACACTTATCACACACATCCACTCCTACTTAACCATGAGGCATATGAAACTCATGATTTTTTTTTTTTAAGTATTTAGATGAAACCAAGTCATAATTTTAAAAATATTTGGTTAAAATATATATTTAGTCTTTTAATTTTATATCAGATTTTAATTTGGTTCCTTAATTTTAAAATATATATTTTCAGTTACTTAACCCTAAATTTTTTTTAAAAATAATGATATTAAGATCTTAAATATTAAAAAAAATATTTTCAAATGTGAACATATTAAGTTTAATTTTCGAAAAATCCATTATTGTTATTAAAAAAATTATTGAAACTTAATAATTTTAGGGTTAAAAGACCTAATATATGCTTTTTGAAGTTAAAAGACCAAATTAAAACCTTATATAAAATTAAAGAACCAAATATATAGTTTAGCCAAAATACTTTTATAATATATGGAATAAATATGTCAAGAAGTTTGTCTTCTTTTATAAATTTTTCTACATTGCCAAGCACTCCTCAGTAAAAAAAACAAAAGAAAAGAAAAGAGGTCTCATGAGGTGCCAATTGAGCTATAAATTTTTTTGTGTCTGCATTTGATTGCACCATCGTATGCGAATTAGTTCTTTCTTGTTTCTGCTCTTTTTTTTTCTCTCTCTCTTTTTTCAGCTTGACCTGTTTTGTGAACATTTTTAATTTGACCTTACGTGGTTCCTTTTTAGTAATTACGCTCGGACGGCTAGACTAACCAGACAAAGCATAAGGTGTAACATTTAGAAAATTTTTAATGTTCATGTTTTTAAAATAGATGCCGTTTGCCCAAAAAAAAAGAAAATAATAGAAACGAATTAAAAAAAAAGGAGTGGATTAATATTTAAGGGAGGGAGGAAACGAGGACACAAAGCAAAGCGTGGTACCGGGGAAAAGTCTGAAATGGGAAGAAAAAAGGGCTTCTTGTGGGGGTGGTGGGGTCCCGAGGGAGAGATGTTTCGAACCAGCAAGCAATAGAGGTCAAAACCGTCCCTCTCTTAAAACTGGCAAGAAAAATTACATATTTTAAAAATGTAAAAGCAAAGGATTAATCCTAAATATCATACTCCTCCGGTCCTTAATATAAGACCCATTTAACTAATTTGATTAGATTAAGGAAGTTAGGTAAGTTAGTTAATTATAAGAAAAATGACACATTTTTCCTAAAACATCATAATCATCTTTCTTAATACCCCCTCTCCCTCTTCTATTTGATTATGGTTGAGGGAGTATCCATAGGGGTAATTTAGAGAAAATTGATAAATATGAGAAATGGGTCTTATATTTAGGACTAAAACTAACTCAAGAACTGAGTCCTATATTAAGGACCGGAGGAGTACTTAGTTCGCTAAATCCTTTAGATATATAATTTTTATTCAAACTACTATTGTTGATTGCACTTAATGGGATTTCCAAGGATATTTTTAATTTTTAATGCAGATTATCAAAAGAAAAATGGTTGTGAAATTTCAAGAGAAAATATAATTACTAAAAATTTTAATAATAAATGAGTAATTTGGACTTCCGATCATTTCATGTATTCCTCCATTGGGGCCGTATAGTGATTTTCCTATTATTAAATGAAATATTTGAGGAAAAAAATTAACTAATTTTTTTAAACTCTAAAAATTAGTTATTTAGTTTTTCATATTTTGGATTGGAGACGGTATCATGTTATTTATAATTTTAATTGAATCAATCAACTAGTTTTATATTTTTGTTGTTGATTTTTTTTTTTTGGAAAAAGAGCAAATGATGAAAGGGCATGCCTATTGCCAAATGGAGGGCCAAAGGAGGCAGGGGTTCTAGAAGGAACACTTGAAGCATGATGTGGAACGATGAGCATGGCGTTACATTCAAGTTGGCACATTTGCACACTGATAATGGATGTGAACAATTATGGTGGGGCCCCATCCGACAGGACAGCTCGGATGCAACCAATTTTTAACCCTATCTTCTTTTACAGTTAAATATAAAATATAAAATACGGTTACATTATTCATTTGAAGAATAACAGAGACAGCTAGTGTAATTAAATTATCACCGCTTCATTATTTATTGTTAGTCACTTGTAAAAAAATTTTACGTTTTAAATATAAATCAATTGTCAGATATTTAATGAGAATAAATTTAAAATTTTTTTATTAATTTAGTATATTTTTTTGATATATGAGAATGACTTATGATGAGATTAGAGTAGTAGCTCCTAATTAATTAATTATATCATCTAAAGAATAATAATTATATTGTTTTTTAATTTCGGTTAAAAATATTGGAAGTGATTTACAGATAAAATTATAAGAATATATCATCAATCATTCTCGTTATCTATAAATCATAATTATAAATTACTCATAAATTTAATATAAATTTTAGATTTTAACATATTCGGTAGACTTTTTATTAACTACGCGTTTTAATTTAGTTCTAAATATATAAAATTGATTTTATATTGTAAATTATGCTACAAAATAAATTTTATGTTTAACACTAGAAGAATATGTTCTTATTTGTAAGTCAAATATCAAAATCTATTAAAATCCTGGTAAAAAAAAATCTATTAAAATCCAAGAATCATAATTTGACCTTTAATAATTTTACAGTTTTTTCCTCATGCTCTCTTGTATATATGCCACATGTTAAATGTTTAATACTCTGATTCTTAATAAAAAAATATATTAAATTAATTTGATTAGATTAAAAAAGTTAAGTAAGTTAGTCAATGATAAGAAATATAACATTTTTTTAAAATACTATAATAATCTTTGTTAATATCTTTCCCCTCTTCCACTTAATTATAGTTAAGGAAATATCTATAGAGATCAATTAAAAACATTATTTATTTATATTTAAAATCAAAATTAACTTAATAATTAGATTTTATATTAAGAATAAAGAGAGTATATATTTTTAAAACTAAATTCCGCGAAGACTGACCTTTTTCCTCCCTTTTATCACAACGGGGTCAAGGAAAATGGATAAGGATCGGAAAAATGACGGAGGAATTGGTCGGCCGATTTTCAGAAAGCTGTGACTCCTAAATGGCTAATCCTTTCTTTTCCCGTCAAATCAGATTGCGTTTCTAGCAGCCACTTGTCTCATCCACTGTTTTGCGGGTTTAGCCGATGTTCATCTTTTATATAGTGTTGGAATCTTTAATATAGAATCTATTTAACTAATTTGATTAAATGAAAGAAGTTAGGTAAGTTAGTTAATTATAAGAAATGTGATATGTTTTTCTACAACACTATAATCATCTTTCTTAATACCTCATCTCCCTCTTCTATTTGATTATGATTAATGGAGTATCCATAGGGATAATTTAGAGAAAATTAATAAATATAATAAATGAGTTTTATATTTAGGATCAAAATTAACTCAACAATTGGGTCTTAGGACCGGAGGAGTAGATTATAAGCAGATCAATTAGCTGACAATTTTCATAATTTATGTAATTTTTTTATAATTAATACAAAAATTAGACAATTATTTGGATGAAAGTACAATTTAATCTTATTTCACATGCATATCCAGTACTTTGATTTTATTTTTTATATGCATTTAGTACTATGATCTTATTTTCTTGATACCTTCAGCATCCCGATGTGATTTTTGTGTTACATTCAACATTCTAATACTTGATGTGCTAAATGTGCTATAAACTGGATGTATAAAAAATAATATCATTATCTTCATGCACCATAAATAAAATTAAGGTGTTGATGCATATTTATCCTAATTAGTTTATAGAGGTTAAAAAAATTAATCTAGTTAATTTTACTAAAGTGCCCACTTTGATCATGATTTGCATTGAAATTAATTTTGATGAAAATCCCCCATACGGCCATACTCAATAATTTAGGAAAAAATTATTGAAAGATGATCAACGTAATGCATCAACAATTCAACATGGTGTGGAGCGATGATTGAGGAGTAAATGGGAAATTTTCGGTGATAAATGATAATGGCAGGAAAGAAATAAGAAATTAAGAATAGACAAAAGCAGCCGAAAAGGGGCAAAAAAGATAAGAAAGAATGATGGAGTGATGCAGGGAGTGTCACAGAGTAAACGCTTAAACGTTGACTTCATCAGGGTTACGTGAGTAATAAGGCAATAACTGTATACCATGACTAGGCCCCACACTTTCTTTATTTCCAAACTATCCTCTCAGCTCACCCATCTTACACGCAACTCCTTTTAACTTTTCTCAATTAAATAATAAATAAATATTGATTTTCATAAAATATTTTTTTAATTTATAATACAAGATATTGGTCATGAGAAAATTGTATTCTAAAATATAAGGGGTTGTCAAAATATGAGAGAACTTTATCATTTTAAGATGTATTTAATGACTAAACTTTATTTTTGGGTGTAGAATAGTTAACAAAATTTTTATATTATGAATCGGAGGGAGTATTTTATTAATTATGTGCATCAAAATAAAAATTATTTTAACATGTGTAAT